AAGCAAAAAAAAACAGATGAAGTAAAAATAAATAAAGCGTACCTACCTACTTTCATAGGTAGGCACGTTAAAAAACGAATATTACCGTTGAATTGGATCGGTAATGTTAGAAGGTATACAATTTTTTTTTTACATTATATTATTTTTCATCGATAAAGGTATGAAAACTTTCAAGGACAAAGTCGGCTATGAGTCGTTCAGTTTGACTTTTTTTTTATGTGCAATAATGTTAAGTATAAAAAGCCAGCACAGTGGGGTCGGGGAATAGCGGTACACGTTTTTATTTTTTAAGCAACCGTTATGCACAGGCAAAGAGTAATCTTAGACATATCTAAGTATACCAACAAATCAGTATTATACAAGATACATAATTCAATGAAACCCTGTTTGATAATTTGTAACATAATCAAATCAGTATCGTTCTAAAAAGTTCATCCCTTCTCTTTTAAAATCGAGAAAAACACCTTTTTAAATTTTTTTTTACTATAGAAAAACACTTGGGTGACTTGATGTGCGTTTCTATTTCCACTGTTTACATAAATGAAAAAAACGAATTGTTTTTTACACGTTCAAAAGTCGTTGTTGACGTCTTTTGAACGTCTTAAGAAATACATGGCCAACCGGACTTATTGACGATTTTCAAGAAAAATCACAACCTATGTGAATTATTTTTAGCTTCGATGCAAAGCAGAGATCTATTGGTTTTACCATCATGTGACCTTTTTTTGTGTCTGCATACACTGTAACTTTTTTAATACTGGACTAATTCTTTGAGTACCAACTCTATAAATCACAAATTTCATCTAATTGGTACTTTGGGGGAGTAAAAGTTGAATAAGTTTTAATTTTTCACTGTTATAATATGAAGAAAAAAAACAAAAAAAAACCATACTAGAACTGGCTATAATTTCGAGAAAAAAAGAGTCGGGTCTAGTTGAAATTTTTAAGAAATATTTATTTCGTTTGCCCTCACACGTCAGTTGTATCAAACTTAAATTATACCATCTCCCAAGAGGGGAGGTGCAAGTTTTATTGTTTTTTAGCCATAGTTTTAAGAACTTTAAGTTAAAAATTTGTCAGTAGTTAGAACTAGAGTAAAATTAGGCACTACATTTTTTCTTTAATTGACGGAAAACTGTGTTTTTCGCAGGTTTCGTATATTTGAATGAGATATGAAATATTCGATTGTTTCAAATTTAAGCAGTATACTATTGTAAGACTAAAAAATATACCATGTTGTATGGTTTAAAAAATGTTTAATACTAAACACACAGTAGTTTTATACATATCACTACTATTAAACTATTTGCAAATTTCGATGGGTTCATTCTTCAAATTTTTAAGTTTAGTATTCAGAAGAAATGCAACTTAAAAATAATTAAGAATATTCATAGAGCCAATACTGAATTTAACAATAACGAAAACCCTACTTTTATAAATTAATTTCTTAGGTATTTCCTTAATATTATAGTGCGTACGTAAGTAAAAGTATTTCCCAGAGCTTTATCAACTTTTGAAACTTCAATGATAAGATAGTAAATTCAACTATTTTTTTAACTTATATGAATTTGCTGAAAATTTTGACTGGTCAATATCCAGTTTTAGACAATTACTTACAAAGTTGTTGAGGCTTAAATTTTAGGACCGGACGAAAAGGCAAAGTGAAGTATTTTTTTATCTTAAATTATTCTTAATTTAAAAAAATTAATTAAATATATATGTAACCATTTAAGTTTCAAAAGTTGTCTGAGCTCTGGAAAATACTCAAAAAAGTAAACATAAAGTGTCAAGTTCCAGACCCATTCCCAAAAGAAATCATCCTATTAACTTAGTGATATCTACATTGTGGCCAAGTATGCTATTTCTTTAGTTCATAATCTCACTTTACTCCTACTTTTATGAGCACTACTGCTCTTATGTTTGTATTGCTTAAACTTAGGTATTTAATAAATGAAAAAAACGAATTGTTTTTTACACGTTCAAAAGACGTCAACAACGACTTTTGAACGTCTTAAGAAATACATGGCCAACCTGACTTATTGACGATTTTCAAGAAAAATCACGACCTATGTGAATCATCTTTAGCTTCGATGCAAAGCAGAGATGCCATTGGTTTTACCATGATGTGAGCTTTTTTTGTGTCTGTATACACTGTAACTTTAATAATACTGGACCAATTCTTCGAGTAGCAACTCTATAAATCACAAATTTCATCTAACTGGTACTTTGGGGGAGTAAAAGTTGAATAAATTTTAATTTTTCATAGTTTAAAATTTTAAAAAAAAACCATACTATAACTCTTATAATTAGAACTTTTACTGGCTATAAATTCGAGAAAAAGAGCCGGATCGAGTTGAAATTTATTAGGAATATTTATTTCGTTTGCCCTCACACGTCAGTTGTATCAAATTTAAATTATACCATCCTCCTGGGGGGAGGGGGGGTGCAAGTTTTATTGTTTTTTAGCCTTAGTTTTAAAAACTTTAAGTTGAAAATTTGTCAGTAGTTAGAACTAGAATAAAATTAAGCACTACAGTTTTTCTTTAATAAGAATATTCATAGAGCCGATACTGAATTTAACAACAACGGAAACCCTACTTTTATAAATTAAATTCTTAGGTATTTCTTAAAGTCTATTGTGCGGTACCTAATTCTTCAATTGTGGTTGTTATGCTTGTTTTTCTCTATAAACAAATAATTTCGAAAAAAATCACAATATAATAAATATTATTATAAAAACTATAGGTCTTAAGTGCAATTCTATATATTTAGAATTAGTTTTACATATATATTATAACTAGTTGGATAACTTTGAAAATGTTTTGATTTATATTATATTTTAACATTAATATACATTTACTAAACATTTATGTTTTCTTAGTATTTTCCACAGCTTTATTAACTTTTGAAAATTAAATGTTAACGTAATATATTCAACTATTTTTTTTTAATTTATATGTATTTGTTAACAATTTTGACTGGTCGATATCCAGTTTTGGACAATTACTTATAAAGTTATTAAGGTTTAAATTTTAAGACGGTAGGAAAGGCGGAGTGAAGTATTGTTTTCATCTGTGCGCTTCACTCGTACGCTATCCGACTCTTGTCGAAAAATTTAAACTTATTATTCTATTAAATTATTCTTAATTTTAAAAAAATAGTTAAGTAAATAAGTTACTATTTAAGTTTCAAAAGTTGACAGAGCTCTGGAAAATACTCAAAAAAGTTAATATTAAGTAGTTTTATAGTATTGTAAAATAACATTAATAAAAATGCCCAATATATCAATTGATGATTGAATAAAACAAAAAACTTTCTAAATATTTATTTCGAACATAAAAAAATTTATACAATTGGGTATTACTAAATTAAAGTATTTTAAGTTAGTTCTCAATTTTTGCTGTTCACTTGTAAAATATTTACTGTCAATGAAATAACAAAAACATATAATTCTTTATAAAAATAATTTTTATAAGAAGTATACAAGATAGAATTATGAAATTATAATTATAATTAATTAAACATCTGCAAAAACAAGAACCTAAACAATAACTAGAAAACAAGTGTGATTATCAGTACAATAAAAATATTAAATCTATTACATTATCTTGACGCTTAGTATCATTATTTTCCAAACACACCAATATTTTTTACTTCTTCATCATTACTTTCACTATACTTTTTGTGCCAGTCTAAGTTTCTTTGATTTAGTGATTCGCCTCTATCACGGGCTTGTTTGCCAGTATATACCATTCCAATACAACCCAAAATTACAAAAAGCATAGTTAAGTTTGCTACTTTGATTCTCACTACAGACCTTACTTTGTTCCATTTCTCAGCTCTGCAATAAAAAAAGAAAAAGATAATAAAATAATAATAATAATAATGCACCAGTGCCAAAAAAAAAAAAAAAAAAAATGCATGCATGCAATTTACATTAACTTAATAAAATAATTTTCACATCTTTTCTATTATACTACACAGTAAAACTGAGTTTCAGTAAAATTGTAACAATATAAAATAAACAACGCATAATAACTCACGTAATCTTGTCGGGTGTTTCTTTTACGGATGGGTATTTTTTTGCCCAAACACACAAAATTTTTTTTGTTTTTGTTAATGGATAATTGGCCTCTAAAAATTACATAGAAAACATAGGATTAATAGCTAACTAATTTTTAAGTCTTATGATTAATAATTATCACATAGTTGTGGTTGTAATAGAATATTGTAATGCTTATGTAACAGTTCCTTATTTGGTTAGCAATATTACAAAACATTCATACACATTAGTGTTTGACTTATGTTTTGTTAAATATATTACATAATATATTTGTATAGTAATTAGCAAGTATACAACAAAATAAGAAGGATGAATTTGCATGAAATGGTAACTTGATTACATCATAAAATTAATACAACTTTTTCATAAATCTATAAATTATTTTATAAGCCGATCACTTTTTTTTACGAAAACATCTATCAGCTGAGCACTTGAGGTAAGCACAACCAAAATAGATCATACTATTATGAAAAACAACTTACTCGACTCGAATGAGGGTTTCGCATCTGGGGCTGTAGTTTGGCTTGGAGTTGCTGGAGTGCTGGGAGTCGTATACTGTCTTGTCAAATTACAGAGTCCGTAGGCAACATTTCTTCCGAGTCCAAGGAATACACCCATATCGAAATGACTGCAATTCGAAAACTACAAATTATTTATATAAATTTGACTGTTGCCCGTGGTGGTGTAATGATTGCAAATTACTATTTTTAAGTAGAAATTCGATTTTGAAAACTTGTTGTTGACTATATTATTGGACGTTGGTGCCTGGTTAAGGACCTACTGATAACGAGTCAGCTGATAATGTCACATTATCAAACAAAATGTTATTATCAGCCATAGATTTAAAAAGGAAAAGTTTCTTTTCTTCATGTGTGTTATCAGTCATGGACAGCAGCCGCAGGGGATGTATACATTCACCTTGGTGTGCAGTCAAAACTAGGATAATGTTATCACTCTTAACCCAAACAAGTAAAAATATTAAAAACACATTATGCTCATCGGCGCGTAAGCTGTAATTTTATAGGTAATGCTGTAGTTAGGAATAGGAAACACTTTTATATGTCGATTTTTCTCAATAACTCTTCACGTTGAGTTTGAATTGAAATCGAAGAAAGTTACCGCGTTCCTATACTATGTCAACGTCACTGGCTAATCGGACATGTGAAACTGCAGGCTGCAACGCTCAAGCCAACCTACAATGCCCCACGTGCATCAAGCTGGGCATTTCAGGATCATACTTTTGTAACCAGGTAAATATTAACAAGATTTGTTGATGTAGTGTTGAACTGTCACAAATCCTCATCAAATTGTTCGAATTTGCGTTATGTTGTATAACATGGTGATGCAAAAAATTATAATACAATTAAATTGTATTTTTCCTCAATTAAATTGAGGGAAAACACTTGACGATTGAATACCTTCACAATAATAAAATAAAAAAGTTCCAAACAAGTTTTTAAGAAGGTATACCCGTGTGACTGTGTACAGTAATAAATTGCTTCAGACATATCTTGAATATACTAAAACATTTTATTTTGTTTTATGAACTAAAACAAGTTGGCCACACTTCTTGTGTATAAATATTGTCATTTAACAGTGTCGTAGCTAATTACTATGGTTTATTTGGTCATTGCAATGATCTATTTTGAAGCTGTCTGGCAAAAATACTTGTACGTTAATGTTTTTTTTTTTTTTTTTTAGCAATGTTTCAAAACCAATTGGTCAACCCATAAAGTTCTTCACAACGTAGCACGTAAGTTAAATAATATTGTATCGATTATAGTATTTTAATTAAAAATATTGAAGTACGTATATGTATATGTGCAGCGGTGAAGTGTCTTGTAAGCAAACTTTAAATACTAAATAGCAACCTATCCTCAATCTTTTTTTTCAATACCTTTTTAGCTATAACGGAATTGTTTTCCTTATAATATTTCACTATTCCCAATTCTTATATGAAGCTGTCGTTATAATTCAGGTGTAAGTTCGGTATCATATGTTATTAACACTACACTACATGTTTTCAAATAGAGAGAGAAGCAACTTTATTTAAAAAAATCAAGCGGGCTGCCTAAAACATAGGTTGCCATATAAGACACAGCATACTAGATCAATACAATAGTACATAACACAATTTTTCTTTTAACATTGATGGTAATAATAGTAACACAGGTAAACATAGATTCTTTAAGACAAAAATTAATAAATGAGTAATAAGACTAATAATCCAATAAATGGACGATTGAATAAAAAATACAACAATTACGTAGAATATAGGTGGAAATTGATAATATACAATGTGTCCTTCAGGACTAAAAGACACATCTTACGCAGTTCGTCGACTGCTAGACCGTTCGCTTTGAAGAATGAGACTAGCAGCGACGAAGCTGTTCCTCTGGCCCCAAACCACAATCCGGTGACTTCCCAATGAGTTATGCCATAGCGTTGTATTAGGTATGGTATGCATGGAATGTAGATTGTTTTTTTTTCCTCGTCAACTGATATATCTTGCCTATCGTCGTTCGTTTCCCATCGAATAGTGGGATCCAGAATAAGACCTCTACCCCTTCTTCGATCTAGGACGATAATATCCACTCTTCTATTCTGGGTGCTGGAATCATCATGAATCTCGCAGTGAACCTCTTCATAGGTTTCGAAGCCTTTACACCGGAATAGTTTCGCGAAGGATGAACGTACTTTGTGGTGTGCAGAGTTTCGAAGGAGTTCGGTTTTAGGACAGGAGCCCCTGATGTGTGGCAGTGTTTCGGTTATATTATTCTCATTGCAGACTGGGAATCTGCAGTGGCGGCCACCAACACCACGACCTCCTGTACCTCGATTTGCCATTGAATTCATAGACATTTTTATTCCGTTTGTCCACTCTGCGCTTAGTATTTTTGTATTTTACAATATTTTCTATTATTTTTCAGAGGGCAAAAACAATTCAACAAATGGTACTCCAGACGTTTATAATCCATGGCCAGATTATGCATTTACAGGTACAAAAAATGTAATTTAATGTTATAATCTGTTTACACTACCATTTTAGATTTTAGCGATCTTTAAGTTGACATTATAATATTATATCTTTTTTTTTTTTAATTTAGGTCCGTTGCGCCCCCATAAAACATCTGCACCGCGTACTGTTCCCGATCATATACCGCGACCTGATTATGCCGATCATCCAGAAGGTATACCCCTAAGTGAACAACAAGTTAAACTAGCATCTCACATCAAAGTGTTGAATGACGAAGAACTAGAAGAAATGAAAATAGCTTGTAAGGTATGAAAAAAAAAAGAAATTTACAAATATAACATTTTCCCATTTAAAATGTAAATAAATGTAATTTAATATTTTTTTTTTTGAAGCTTGGCCGTGAAGTTTTGGATGAAGTAGCATTAATGATCGATGTTGGCGTAGTAACCGATGAAATTGATAGAATATGTCACGAAGCGTGTGTTGTAAGAGAATGCTATCCGTCGCCGCTGAACTATTACAAGTATCCAAAGTCATGTTGCACATCTGTTAACGAAGTTATCTGTCATGGTATACCGGACATGAGACCTCTAGCCGACGGAGACATTTGCAATGGTTTGTTTTTTTTAACACTACACAAACACTTACACGTTCATACTTAAAAGATAAAAATACCCAAATTTTAATTAGGTACCCCATTTTTTAAGTCCGATTATTATTATTATTTACAGTCGACGTAACTGTATGTCATCGAGGATATCATGGCGATTTGAATGAAACGTTCTTAATAGGGAATGTGTCTAAAACTGCTGAAAAATTAGTCAATGTAACATGGGAATGTTTACAGAAAGCCATAAATGCAGGTACGTAATTCTTTTCTCGACGATTCGTCATGGATACAATTTTTTTTTTTTTTTTTATTTAGTTCAGCCCGGTGAAAAGTATCGAGAACTCGGAAATATTATACAAAAACACGCTCAAGCCAATGGGTTTTCAGTAGTTAAAAGTTACTGCGGCCATGGAATACACCAATTATTCCACACTTCCCCCGGAGTCCCACATTACGCTAGTAAGATAATTTGTAGAATCTACTATAACTTTTGGCTTAGAAAATTATAAAATGTTTTGTTTTTTTACAACACACGATCAGCAGTTCTTCATATTATTATTATAAAACTTAATTTATGTTGAAATCTTACAGAAAACAAAGCAGTAGGTGTGATGAAACCAGGCCATACATTTACTATTGAACCAATGATTTCACAAGGTAAGCCAATTATAAAGTGTATATATATTATTAAAGCAGAGGTGCTAAGTACGTTCTAGCCGATATTTATATATTTTACTTTAAACAAAGTAATTTAATGTCATAAAAATAAAAATAAAAATTCACTATAAATGCATGTTTTTCTTGTGGAGATTTTAACCTAAGGTGAACGGAAAGCGCCAAATTTTGTACAAATAAAGACTGAAAGCGTAAAGTCACTTTCTAACGTGTTTACCGAACCGATTTAAAATTTTATATTGTTATAAAATTTAACATATTTTGTATAATTTGGTAATTATTATTGGTTTTTATTTTTTTCAACAACAAAACAATACTAATTTCAGGTAGTTGGCGAGACAAATGTTGGCCAGATAATTGGACTGCAGTCACTGTAGACGGACAGTTGTCGGCGCAGTTCGAAGAAACTCTCCTGGTCACCGATACCGGTGTAGAAGTATTGACCAAACGACTGAGTAACAACGGACGTCCATATTTTTTGGACAAAACGTCTTAGTCTTATAGATACTGACAATTGCCAATATCAACTCGACTGTAAAGAAATCAGTATATTATTTTATAGATATGTTATGGAAAAAGTTTTGCGCTCAATACTATTTTATATCTACACAAATGTTTTTATAACATACTGTACATGTACTTAATCTGTTGTTGAAGCTTATTTTGTTCAATATAAATAAAATTAATTAATTAACTAATTTTTATTTACCCGGTTACATTTAAAAAAAACCAACACGCCAAATAAAAATCTGTTTAATAAGTAACTAAAAAAAAATGACCGTTATATTTTCTATAAAATTATATAAAACTGGTTAATTGCAAACCAAATACAACTTTTAGTGATCGACAAAGTCGAAGAGAGTTGCCTTATTAATAAAAAATAATATCACACTGTTTAATCTGCCTTTGTTCGGTCTTATTTGTATGTTATTGTTAAAATTAATATAAATCAAAACATTTTCAAAGTTATCCAACTAGTTATAATGTATATGTAAAACAGCGTTTGTATAGAATTAAACTTAAGGCATATAGTTTTTATAATAATATTTATTATATTGTGATTTTTTTCAAAATTATTTGTTTATCAATAAAAACAAGCATTACAACCACAATTGAAGAATTATTAGGTACCGCACTATAGTATTTAGGAAATACCTAAGAAATTAATTTATAAAAGTAGGGTTTCCGTTGTTGTTAAATTCAGTATCGGCTCTATGAATATTCTTAATTATTTTTAAGTTGCATTTCTTCTGAATACTAAACTTGAAAATTTGAAGAATGAACCCATCGAAATTTGCAAATAGTTTAATAACTACTGTATGTATAGTGTTAAACATTTTTTAAACCATACAACATGGTATATTTATTAGTCTTACAATAGTATACTGCTTAAATTTGAAAAAATCGAATATTTCATATCTCATTCAAAATAAGGTTCTTTCGTGATACACAGTTGTTGATTTTCTAAATGTGTTCCTTAAGTGATTTACACAAAAAAACTTAAATAACTTTAATACAACTTTTGGGAAGTTAAACTAAACAATGTAGTGTGATAAACTTATTGCTTAAAACTCTTTGACTTTTGATCAAACTGTTGATGTTATGTTAAATCCACTCTAATCACATACTATCGACTTGGACTCGATTACTTTTTAGAATACGTATAATTGCCTAGACGTTTCAATAATATGCTGACGCCATGAACTATATTATACTTATTTAACGTTGAGTTTCGACTTTTGTTGTTCGCGCTAATTGTTATTGCTAAAGCCTAGGTGAGGATACTGATGATTATATGGTACACTATGTAGATAATATACAAACGACATTCACAAATCATAATCTGATCACCTACTCTTAGGTCATTAACAGGTCTGTACAACTTTTCTCAAACTAGAAGAAAATATACTTAAGTGTGGAACGCCACTGAGAAAGTCTAATAAAATCTTGTTTCTGAGTCAACTCCAAAAGTGAAAGGTAAAAAAAGTATTGAAAACATTGTCGAAGTTATAAATTAGGCCTTTCGGGACGTTTTAAACTGCCCGTTGTTGTTTTTATACACCTATGTATAAATGTACATGGTTAAAAGGGTTTGAAATAATATTTTTGGTGTCAAGTAAAAACAAGTGTTATTTGATAGTACCCCATCAAGCAGCATAATATTATGTATAGTATATTAAATCGGATGATTCGGTATCGCTTTTATAAAATGTGTAACTAATAGTATAATTTCTGTTGCTTTTTGTTATTTTCAAACCGATAAAATTCTTACACGGGTGACCTACATATAATTTTAGTTTAACATGAAAACATGTTATTATTTGAACAATGCACGTGTACAATATTTTTCAGCAACGTGTATTACAACTTAGATTGTACTTAGACCCTGAACTGAGAGGCCTCTGTCCCTCGGAATTTGCCTTGTTATTTAGCAGATAGCCTGTTAAAGCGGAAACACGACTTAATAAATCATATTTGTAATGATACAAGAACCACTATTTATTTAAATAACGATTTTGTCCAACACTGCCAAAGGGGCTATAGCCTGCCCCAGAATTTTTTTTAGCCGCCCTCTCTTGATAATACATATATTTTCTACGATCATGCTAAATGTGCAACTGAAAAGGTTTTTTTTCCTTTCATTTTCCCACATAAATAATACAACTAATGGCGAATAATAATCAACTAACAATTTAATTTCCATGTCAAAGTGGTATCTGCCTGTTACGAGCATTAGGCTTTCCGGATTGCGGCACGCTATACATTTTTGAAAAATTAACACTTATAGCATTAATAGTTCTAACTAAATATCATGAATCTCTTGCTGTGTAATAAATTTGCAAGCATTTATTTCGCCTTTTGCGTGGTGAATCAAGATTGTTTGCTAGTTTGAAAGAGGATCAGATTTTGCAGATTTTTAGTAAAATATTATTATTATTATGAAAAGTATTCTTAGCGGTTGACATTGAGTTGACCTTTGAGAATTTCGTTCATATTTCATATTTTTTTTATGTATACAAATGATCGCATAACATACCTACGTCGTTTTTTCCCTAAGCAGAGCTAGTGAAAACATTTGGCCGTTGTGTACACTGCACGGTATAGCTGCGTCTCGAAAACCAAAATAACGGCTAACTTAACGTAGAACCAAACTTAGCGGTGAATGTTATTCGACCTAAATTTACATTATAGCAAAGAAAAAAATATGTTAAATTCAATTTTCTTATACTTTCGAAAGACACTGGGCTAGCTTTTAGCAGCCGAATTGTCGACGAATAATAATATAATTAATATGATTAATTATATCACACCATACTATAATGTATGTTATTCGAATTTTAGTATTCCGATAAAGTTAAAGTCGCTTTAAATTTCAATATTTGTAACAGTTGAAACATTTTTTGTAATTCCATAATAATAAAAAAAAAGTACTATTTCGTCGAATAACATATTTTTTTTATTCAAGCGTATTGCGTAGAAAAACATAGTCCAAACGCCGCTTTTTATGTATTGTTTGTCCACGATAAATCGCAAAAATAAAAATGAACCGATTTTGTAAATAAATGAACATAATACTTACACTGCAAAAAAATATTTGGATTGTGATTTTTCGGTCGACATAAAAGCCCAACCATAAGTCACAAGCAGTACATTTAGTTTCAAAAGCTGAACAAGTCGACTGTTGTCCAAGAACCAACGCCACAATTTAAGTGAGTATTTCTGTTAAACTCTAAAAATTGTAGTAACGTTTAAACTAAAAAGGTATGAGCCTAAAGAGTCAAAAGTGTTTAAGAACAGTAGTAGGGTTTTACTATTGCTAGTTATTTTTTCAATCGATTCTTTATCATCGTCTTACAATATCCACGTTTTTGGAGAGAATTCTATAATAGATTTTGGTGTTTTTTGGCTTGGAGTGTACCATAGGAAGTGTAGTGAATAAAGGCATTTTTTAAAAACGTTGTCATAGTACCCCACAAAAGTAGAACTCTTTGCGTATACAACCAAGATTAAAAAAATATATATTTTGTCCACCCCAAGTGCAAGAAGTAAAATTCAGCAGAATAATGAAAAATATAACTTTATGGGGAACTAAATTTTGAAAACTATGTATAGTTTTATATTTTTAAGAATTTTCTGTAATCACCAAAATAAAAAAATTCCAAACTTAAAAACATGCAAAAACAAGTGTTTTTCTTTTGGAAAATGATATTTACTACACCGTTGACTATTTTTTTTTTACAAAAAAATAATTTTAAAAAAATTAACATAAAACCACAATTAACAAAACATTAAACATTTTTTATTTTAAAAGAAAATTTGCAAAAACTAATTTCTATATATGTTATAAGAGAAAACTATAACACATTATATAACACAAAATATCATTTTGACCCATGTTGATGATGTTTTTAAAAAAGATCAATAAAAAAAAATTAAAATAAATATCATTTTAATGATAAAATATAGGAAACATATATTTTCTCGTTAGACTTGCTAAAAAGCACTAAGCCATAATAATTTATTGTTTGTTTAATAATTATCAAACAACGTATAAGTATATAATGTTTATAATAAAATGATAAATAATAAATAATAAATGATTAATAATATAATAAAATTATATAAAAAGAAAATGTTTTTATCATCCATGTTTTTTTGTTTATCGTTAAAACAAGTCAGTATACAGTGAAGAAAACATTTATTTTCAAAAAAACTGTATTATTCTCTTTAAAAATTAAGTAAAAATTAAAAAAAACTAATTTTCATGTGTTTAAGTTTTTAGTTTGAAAACGAAACGCTAAAAACCATTTTTTTTCCTTGTATTAGACAAAAATGAATACTTTCCAAAAATTAGATTTTATTTATGATGTATTATGATGGAAAATCTAAATCATTTTGCTGAATATTCCTTTTTGACTTGGACGAAATATTTGTTTTAATTTTTTTTTTACGCTATTATCAAGACGTTACCTTTGTGACATATTATGAAAACGCTTTATAAAATTTCGTTTTTTACTCCATCTCTTTAAAATGTAATCTTCTTTCCACTATAAACTCATAAATAGTTTCGCTTTTAAGCTATTATGCGTAGTCAAGTTTAAACACTTGAGAATTAAGTGTATATAACATCATAAAATCTAACGTTAATAAGAACATTTCTACTTTTTTTCTAATTTCCATTTTGAATAGTGTAACCTAATTATTTTATACAATGCAATTTAAATAGTTAGGAGAATTATTTTTATTTTTGTCTATCTTCATTATTAGTGAAATAACTGTAATTTAGGCCAAATAAAGTACTTTTAAAGATATACCTTCCTATTCAAAAAAATCAGTTTAACGGTCTAGGAAATATATATATATTTATTTATCATATAAAAACTGCCAAAACCATACCTAACCTAATCTTCTTATCTTTGCACCGAAGGCAACTGTGACTAATAGAAAATGTTTTTTTATTTATTATTATTCGCAGATAAAAATGAAACTCTTCTGTTTATTAGTATGTTTTTTTTTCGTGGATGTTTTGGCAAATGATTTTGGTAATTATTTTATTTTCATAGTTTAAAGTAGTTTGATAAAAATTCAATATATCACTTTTTTACAGCGAATTATAAGAAATATGTTTTCCAGACAAGTCAGTAACATTTTTATTTTTTAAACAAATGTTTTAAATGTTTTTAGAACCC